TGTGAGTTCAAGGCCAGCCTGGTCTACATAGTGAGTTCCAGGACAGCTGGGGCTACAGGGAGACCCTGTCTCAAAAAGACCAAAAAAAATAAATAAATAAATAAAATAAAAAAGAAAAAGCATGTCACAATTTACTGATCCTGTTCTAAGACCTTACCACCACACATATATACTTTATGCTTCCTCATAAGCATCTAGATCTATGTGTGCTATGTTACTTGACCTGAGCACTCTCTCAGGAACACTATAGGCTATGTGGCCTATTCATAGAATCTTCAGAGCCTGAAGTCTCGGCCTGACCTGTCCTTGCTACCCAAAACATCCTCCCAGTTCAGATTTTGCCCTTACTCAAAGCTCCAACCATCCTGAAACACTGCTCCCATGGGGCTTGAGAGATCGTTCAGCCGTTAAGAGCACTGACTACTCTTGCAGGGGACCCAGGTTCAATTCCCAGTACTCACATGGTGGCTAACAACCATTTGTTAACTCCAGTTCAGGGCATCTGATGCCCTCTTCTGACCTCTGCAGGCATCGCATGACACAGGTGCATTTATATACATGCAGGAAATATATTTATACACATAAAGTAAAAAAATAATAAAATATTTTTAAAAACACTGCCCCTTCCCTCATTTCCTAACATCCTGATCAAAAACTAAACAAAATATTTTAGAATGGGTGTGGCGGCACACACTTTAATCCCAACACTCAGGAAGAAGAGGCAGGTAGATCTCTGTGAGTTCTACCACAGCTGGGGCTATAGAGAGACCCTGTCTCAAAAAGACAAAACAACAGTAAAAAAACCAATCCAACATTTTAGAAAAAAAATTATGACGGGTTAGCACCACAAATGATAATGACATATTTCCTCTGAGTTAAACACCACAAAGTGAAGCATTTCTAAGGCTCAATCAATCACCTCTGTCCTATCTGCCCTTCTACTAGGCCTGGAACCAACTCTGATGGTGATGTGGCCCCAACTATTGGGTCTTGGGTACCTTTTTAATGACAGCATCAGTCTTTCTTTCAGCATATTGTCATTAATTGTTCCAAGATGTGCAACTTAACATAAATCCACTTAGAACTCAGAATGAGAAAACAAATGTCCAGGAGATGCCAAACTCTTAAACCTTACAAACACGATACCACAGTGGCTTCCTCAGTTCTCATGTGGAGTAAGCCTGCTCTGGCTATCCTCAGACACTGCCCACAGCCTCCTTAAGCAGTACCCAGTGCTGGCCTGGGTCACAGCCTCAGTACATACTTGAAGCGGACCTTCTCTTCCATGTCCAGGGGTGGGTCCTGTGTGATGAGGCTCACCAGCTCCTCCATACACTGCTGTCTACACAGGAAGTCCAGCAGTTTCTGGTTCTGAGCCTTACACTCTTGCAGGATGTCATCTTCATCCATCAATTCCTGCAGCGTCACATGTTCCTTGTCAAGGAGCTTGTCTACATGGGATGTAGTATTCAAATCAAACTTCCAGAACATGGTGGTGGCCACAGAGCTGCAAGCAAGGGCAAAAGAAGAGCTCACTCCTCCCTACTCTGTGAACTTACCCCTAGTCACACTAAACCAAAATCCAAGAAGCTCATCCCAACATGAATAGAAGCAATCCTGGGGCCCAGGATTATCAGACTTCTACAGGTCAGGCTCACCCCTCACCTCTGGGACCAGCGGCCTCTCCAGTTTCCCCTTGGCTGACCCACCTTCTGGTCCCACCCAGTACTCAATATGTCCCCAAAGGCTCTCATTTGTATTTGGCTGTGTGAGGCCTGTATACCCCAAAGTCTCCCAATGGTCAGTACCATGAATGCTCCTCCAGCCTAAGAAAGTTAAAACAAACCCACCTTCCTACAGCCTTGGTGGCGCACGCCTTTAATCCCAGCACTTGGGAGGCAGAGGCAGGCAGATCTGTGAGTTTGAGGCCAGCCTGGTCTACATAGCAAGTTCAGGCCATCTGGGGCTACAGGGAGACCCTGTCTCAAAAAGAGAAAATAAAATAATAATAGTAATAATAATAATAATAATAATCTGTATGATTTTAAAATAGCAGCAAAACAGAGAAACATCTGGCCCACCATTTTCAGCTCTGGTGGTCTGTGTTGTGTTGTTTGGTTTGATTCTTTGTGGGTTTTTTGAGACTCAGTCTCACTACATAGCTAAAGTTGCCTCAAACTCAAAATCCTTCTGCTTCAGCCTCCCAGGGCCTATAATTACAAGGATGTGCTACCACATGAAGCTGGCATTTTATTATTCTATCAACCAAATAAGCATTCCTTTGGACACAGTCATTTATCTGACCAGTATTATGCCCAGCAGACATTTCTCTACCTATTGATAAGGCAAGGAAAAGAATCTGTGTTATTGAGAAGAGAGAAAAGACATCATTAAGCTTAAAAATCATTAGAAAAAATATCCATGACCAAAGTTCTTAATATTCATGGTAAAGAGAAGTCACTGTGAAAATATAAACAGAACACATAAATAACTTTTAAACCAGCAACAAAGCAATAAAAAAAACACCAAAATCTAGTTGGTGGGAAATAGGAAAGAAGAAATAAAGAGTGAAGTGCTAGGAAGCGGAAGATATGAACTGAAATGGAAAAACTTAGCAGGAACAATGTCAACAGCTGTACATATGGGATAAATTAATCAGTGAAAACGTCTCTTGGATTGGATAGAATAAAATCCAACAATTTTACATAATAAGATATACTTCAAAACATTGAAAAGGGCACAACTATAACAACTGAATAACATACATCAGGTAACTATGAACAAAAGCTGAGGTACAATGTCATTATATGACAAACTGAGTTTAAGGCAAAAAAACAATGAAAGGTAATGATGTTACATACAGGTGAGAAAAAGATCCAACCAAGGTAGACATACATACCTTAAAGGATTCTACAAACTCTAGAAAGCAGCAAGGATAGAAATCCATACAAATAAAAAGTGTGTTGGCTCTGGGCATTGATCCTAAGGAAACAAAAACAAAAATTTAAATTCACACAAAAGATTGACATGGGGGCCAGGCATGAAGACTCCTACCTGTAATCCCAGTACTTGTAAGGCAGAGGCAGGTAGATCTGTGAGATCAAGGCCAGCCTGGTCTACATAGAGAGCTCCAGACCAGCTGGAGCTACAGGGAGACCTTGTCTCAAAGAACAAAAAACAACAAAAAAAGTTTCATAAGCCAGGCATGGCGGCACATGCCTTTCACGTTACCTAGCACTCGGGAGGCAGAGGCAGGTGGATCTCTGTGAGTTCAAGGCCAGCCTGGTCTACATAGTGAGTTCCAGGACAGCTGGGGCTACACGGAGACTCTATCTCAAAAGAGCCCCCCTCAAAAAAGTTTCACATAAATGTTGATAGCAGCTTCATTTGTAACACTGAAAAGATGGAATCAGCCCTAATACCCTTCAAAAGGCAAACAATGACATACAATGTGCTGCACTAAGAAGAAAGTATCTACACCTGCCCGGGCAGTACATAACCCAAACTGTGATAATACAGAGACTAAGACGGCCCCAAGAAAGTATCTACACCTACCCGGGCAGTATATAACCCAAACTGTGATAATACAGAGACTAAGACGGCCCCAAGAAAGTATCTACACCTGCCCGGGCAGTACATAACCCAAACTGTGATAATACAGAGACTAAGACGGCCCCAAGAAAGGATGACAGGCAAATTCATGAAGTGTTCCACATTTTCTTGCCTAAAATCCATATGCTGTAGAAACAATTAACAGGGAGATAACTTGAGATTATGGTTAGTTCTGGTTAATGTCCTATGAATTTTTCATGTACTATTTCAAATGTGTTAAGAACACATGTATTAAGTTCATGTAAGTGGAATAAAGTTTTATCAATGGAAAAAATGAACTTTTGTGACAGTGTCTCTCATCTACTATGCTAACCTCAAACTTGCTATGTAGCTAAGGATGACCTAAAACGTCTGATCTTCCTGCCTCTGCCTCCCTAGTGCTGGAATGAGGAATCAAACCCAGGGCTTTGCTGATTCTAGGCAAACATTCTACCAACTGAGCTATATCCCTAGCCTCCAAAGGAACTACTGATACCTGTAAAAACTTAATGAGTCTCTAAAAAATTATTACTGAGCAAAGTAAACCAATCCCAAAACTTAGATACTATGCGATTCCTTTTTTGTTTTTTTTTTGTTTGTTTGTTTGTTTTTTTGAGAAAGGGTCTCCCTGTAGCCCCAGCTGACTGGAACTCGCTTTGTAGACCAGGTTGGCCTTGAACTCAGAGATCTGCTTGACTCTACCTCCCAAGTGCTGGGAGGGCACCACCATGCCCAGTTCAATTCCATTTTTAACTTGTGAGTTGCTTTTTTTTCAAATAAGATCTCATATAAATTATATTGACCTCCAACTCACTATGTAGCTTAGGATGACCTTGAACTTTTTATCGCCTGCCTCTACGTGCCCCCTCCCCACCCCCAAGTGCTGGGATTGAGGACAGAAAGCTGGATCAACAGGTAAAGGCACTTGCCATCAAACCTGGGATCCACAAGGAAAAAACTGACTGCAAGTTGTCCTCTAAGCTTCATATGTGCCCCATGGCAAACATGCACCTACCCATGTAACAAAAAAATTTTTTAATTTATTATTTTTATGAGTGTTTCTCCTACATATAAGTACATCATGTGCATATAGTGCCATGGAGGCCAGAGGAGGGTGTCAGAACCTCTGGAACTGGAATTACAAGTGGTTGTGAGCTGCCATGTGGGTGCTGAAAACTGAACCCAGGTCCTCTGGAAGAACAGCAAGTGCTCCTAACCACTAAGCAATCTTTTCAGCCTCCCAAAATGAAATTTAAGACCCACTGTAGATGTGTCACCTAGGGCTGGGCACTTCTCAGGCGTATATTCTGTATGTATGACCATTCGTGGAACCCTGCAATAGCCTCCATTTGTTGCAAAAAGAAGCTTCTTTGAGGGGCTGGAGAGATGGCTCGGTGGTTAAGAGCACAGACTGCTCTTACAGAGGACCCGGGTTCGATTCTCACCATCCACATGGTGGCTATGAACCATCCTTAACTCCAGTTTCAGAGGAATCCAATACCCTCTTCTGACCTCCGAAGCATTGCACAACACAGGTGCACTCACATGCAGGCAACACACTCATACACATAAAATTTAAAAAATAGTAAATATATTTTAAAAAAATTTTTTTTAAAAAGAAGCTTCTGCTGGGCATGGTGGCACACACCTTTAATCCCAGCACTCGGGAGGCAGAGGCAGGTGGATCTCTCTGTGAGTTCAAGGCCAGCCTGGTCTACATAGTGAGTTCCAAGACAGCTGGGGCTACAGGGAGACCCTGTTGCAAAAAGACCCCCCCAAAAAAGAAGCTTCTTTGATGAGGGGTGTATGGTACATATGTCTGTAAATATAAGGGGAGAGGGTCTAAATGTGATTAAGAACTATTGCATGAAATTCACAAAAATGCAATAAAAAAATTTTTAAAAATTTAAGACTCAGGGACTGGAGAGATGGCTCAGCAGTTAAGAGCAATGACTGCTCTTACAGAGGACCCGGGTTCGATACCCAGCACCCACATGATGGCTACAAACCGTCCTTAACTCCAGTTCCAGGGGAATCTGAAGCCCTTTTCTGACTTCTGCGGTTGCATGACACAGGTGCACTCACATACATGCAGACAATACACTCGTACACATAAAATAAAAATAATAAATAAACTTTTTTTAATTAAGACTCAGCTGGGCATGGTGGTGCACGCCTTTAGTCCCAGCACTCGGGAGGCAGAGGCAGGTGGATCTCTGTGTGTTCAAGGCCAGCCTGATCTACATAGAGTTCCAGGCAAGCTGGGGCTACAGGGAGACCCTGTCTCAAAAAGACCAAAAAATAAATTTTAAAAAAATAAAAAATTAAGACCCAAGTACTGTGATTACAGGTGTGAGCTACCATGACTGGCTTTGGAAAAAAAAATCTATTTTCCACTTTTATTTTACTTGTGTTTTGCCTGCTTGTATGAAAGTGCATCCATGTTGTGCAACGCCTGTAGAAGCCAGAAAAGGGCATCAGATCCCCTGAAACTAGAGTTATGGACAGTTGTTAACTGTGGGTGCTGGGAACTGAACCTGGGTCCTCTGCAAGAGCAGTTCTTAACTACTGAGCCATCTCTTCAGTCCCCCTTTTTTTTCAATCTTTTTTTTTCTTTTTTGGGACAGGGTCTCCCTGTAACCCCAGCTGGCCTAGAACTCACTATGTAGACCAGGCTGGCCTTGAACTCGCAGAGATCCACCTGCCTCTGCCTCCCGAATGCTGGGACTAAAGGTGTGCACCACCATGCCTGGCATTTTGTTTTGATTTGTTTACTTAATCATTTTTATTTTATGTGTATAAGTGTTTTGCCTGCATGTATGTAAGTGTACTTGTGCATGAAATGTTAATGGAGGCCAGAAGAGGGCTCTGGATCCCTTGGAACTGGAGTTATGAAAGGTTGTAGCCACCACATGGGTGTAGGGAATCGAATCCAGGTCCTCTGCAAGAGCAGTCAGTGCTCTTAACCGCTGAGCCATCTCTCCAGCCCTATATATTTTTTTAAATGATAAAGTTTTAAAAATGGAGGACACTGTGATAATTTGATTGTCAACTTGGCAGAATCTATAATCACCTAGGAGACAAGCCTCTAGACATGCCTGTGAGAAGGGATTACTTAGATTTGGTTAATCTAAGGAATGGGAAAACCCACCCTAAAAGTGGGTAGCACCATTTTCTGGGTCCTGGATTGCATAAAAAGGTGGCAGTTCCCTGAGCACAAGGGTTCATTCATCACTCTTCCTAACTGTGGATGCGATGTTATCAGCTGCTTCAAGCACCTGTCACCTTGACCTTCCCCCCATGACAGGTTGTGCCTTTAACTGTGTGTCCAAAATGAACTCTTCCTACCTTAAGTTGTTTCTGTCAAAATATTTTATGATAGCAACAGGAAAGATAACTAAGACAGACAGATTATTGACTGTTGGTGGTTGGGAGTGTAGAAAAGAGAAGCAAATGGGGCTATAAAAGGTGATGTGATGGGCTGGGGAGATGGTTCAGCAGGTTAACGTACCTGTCACTGAGCCTGATGATCTGACCTTGATCCCCAGGACCCATATAGTGGAAAGAGAGAACTGACTCCCTTCAGTTGCTATCCTGTCCTCTGACATCCACATAAACACTGTGGCATATTCTCTCCCTCCGCCCCCTAATACATAAAACACACACACACACACACACACACACACACACACACACACACACGCCAAGCACACCACACAGATAAAACTTGGGAGGTTGGGGGCTGGAGAGTTGGCTCAGCAGTTAAGAGCACTGAGTGTTTTTGCAAAGGACCCAGGGTTCAATTCCTGGGAACCACATGGTGGCTAACAACTGCCCTAACTCCAGTTCCAGGGGTCCAACACGCTCTTCTGACCTCCACAGGCACTGCACAACACAGGTGCACTTATACTCATGCAGGCAATTATGTCAAAATAAAAATAATTTTTAAAAAACTCGGGAGGTCAAGTTGTATATGGTGGCACACACTTGTAATCCCAGCACTTTGGAGGCTGAAATGGGAATTTCTCTGGGTTCCAGGTCAATATAGGCTACAAGCGAGTTCCACATCAACAAAGGCTAAATAGCAAGACTTAGTTTCAAAAACAAACAAGTAAGCCAACAAACTAGGAGGTCTGAATAAAGTCAGTAGATTGTATTAGTGTTGATTCTTGATTATAATTCTGTGAAATGTTTCTAGTGAAACTGAACATAGCGGTAAAAGCCTGCAATCCCAGAATTTGAGAGGTAGAGGCAGGAGGATTAGGAGTTCAAGTTCAGCTACAGCTACTTAGGGAGCTAGAGGCTAGCCTATGCTACATGAGACCCTGGCTCAAAACAAATATACAGGGGTTGGAGAGACAACTCAGCAGTGAGGAGCACAGGCTACTCTT